AGAATTGTCCCCTTCCGGGGTTTGGTGGGCATCAGACCCACTCTAGAGACAGGCACTGGCAGGGCACGGCAAGTACTTCCACTCACTGGGAAATGGGGACAGCCACGCAGGCAGACCCTCGTCCCAAAGGAACAAGGAGAAACACAGGGGCAGCATCTCTTCCAGGGCCTAAGCCTCCAACCGGACCTCCACATGGGCAGCTGCCAGCCCTCCGTCTGGAAAACAGCGTGCCCGCTTCTAACCGGAGCAGAACTGCGCAGTGATCTTAAGAATCCCAGCTGGCATCAAGAACTTTATACTCAGCTGATTCTGGGCGGTACACCCCAAGGGAGCACTTTCAACTTGAATGGGACGTGTGTGTTGGGGGTGGAATTATCAGAATTAGACAAACAAGCTGCAAGATAGGCGCAATATGGGCACTGAAGAGACATATGGAGAGACACACAAAGACGCACACAGAAGGCATGCGCATGGAGACGCTCGTCAGCCCCATTCCCTACTCTTCACGGCCCAGAGCAGGCCCACACTCCCTGCCTTCACCAGCGCACAACTGACACCTGTCCAGGCAGCCCCAGGCCCTGCCCATCACGGAGCAGAGTCTGTGCCTCCCTCTACCTGCATGCACCTGTCTCTCTTACTCCCTTGCTACCTGAACCACTGGCCCAGCCCACAACCTCCTCCAAGAGGAAGTTTTCCCGGCCTCATCACTCCAGCCCTCGCCTCCCCTTCAGCCCTTTCCCCCTCACCCCCCACCATCAAGCTGGAGTTCTCTGTACCTCGACTGCCAGGGCAGCCCCAGCCCCACCCCAGCCAGCCAGCTGCTTTCTAGCCTCCTCCTTGACACCTTTCTCCACCCCTCTCCCCAGGGAGCTTCCGAAGCGCCCCCCCCACCTCCGGTGCCCAGCTTCAAGTTCTCACTTCTAGCAGGCAGGGAGAGTCCCTCTTCCTCCCCCATCCAAGAGAGACTCTCTCTCCTCCTTGTGACAGGGGACTGGGGGCAGCATTACATTCTGCAATGGGAAGTCCCCACACCTGGCCTTTATCCACGACCACAGGGAGTCACACACCAACTCTGAGGGTGGCACCCTCCACGGGGAGGGGGGTGAAGAAGAGCAATGCTCTGTCTCGCCCTGGGGGTAGATTACAGCTTGGGAGCGGCCCGCCGTGGACCACGGCCCAGCTCTCCGCCCAGTGGCCAGGCCTCGCTAGTGCAGGGGTGTGGGGGCCAGGCACTTGGCTGGGCTGCCAAAGAGCCGCCCCCCAGGCCAGCCAGGACACGAAGCCGGGATCAGCTCCAGGCACTTCCCCTTCCCCTAGAACCTCCGCTCCGGCCCCCGGGGACAGGGCAGGATGCCCCTCCCTGACCGCCGTGCGCAGAGCCTCGCTCAGCCTCTCTCAGCGGGGCCTGGCTCCCAGCGCTGTCCTCACCCTCCCGCCAGGCTCTAAATACAAACTTCAGGGTCAGGAACCTGTCCAGGGCCGAGAGACTTACTTCAGTCCTTACCTACAACCCCTGCAGCCCCCGGGAAACCTCCACCACCACGGCAGGGTCCCATTGCTGCCCCCTGCACTATAAGCCCCAGACACAAGCAGAGCCAACACATCCAGGTCCACTGCAATGCGAGGACCACCATGCACGGCCAGAGGGACACCCTCTCACAGGTAGTAACACATACCTCACTGCTGGGACACTAGCGGCCACAGGGACCCAAGGTCACAGCGAAATAGGGACCCCTGGACCCAAGACCTCCTGCTACAGCAGCCCAGCTGTCCCCACTGGTGGGAACAGAGGGCAGTAGGGAGGAAGGGGGCGCCATCAAAACTTGCACACAAACATTCCTGCTGAGCCCTGCGGTGGCCCCCCCACGTGGCCCCCTACACTTCCTCACCACACCCAGGGTTGCTCAGGAAGGCCTGCGAGCCCAGCGGGACGATCAGAGACCAGGGAAATAACAGCTCCCAGGAGCCTGGATGAAACCCATGGAGGACAAAGAGAGCAGATAGGCCCTAGACATGCGCCGCCACCACCACCGCCACTCAACTCAAACAGCACATTCTAAACCCTCTCGAGAGGCCACCTCCCTTCCTCATGTGCACATGCACGTGGTCAGCCCAGCTTCACGGAAAGACACTTGGGGTGTCTGGGAGCGGTGGCAGGGGGAGAGTTCCCATCAGGAGTCGGACTAGCTCTCCTGGTCTGCCTCTGTCCCCAGGCGGTTCCCAAATTCTGAGGAAGGTGGTGACCACACCCCAGAGCCCCACACACCCCTCCACCCCCACAGCTTTGCCCCAACCCCTCAAACCAGCTCCTCAGGCTCTGAGTGGTGTGCTCTGCCAGGGCCAGCCAGCCAACTCCAAGTTGAGCCAAAGAATCCAGCCTGGCAGTGTCCGGACATCTCCACCCAGGGCCTCCCTGGGACTGAAGTGACCCGGGGACCCCTCAGCCCATTCCCTGCCTTTGACCAAAGCTGGCCTTCTGCCTCCACAGGTCTGCCACAGTTCACTCTCTCGTGTCCCACCCTGAGCCCTAGACCTCCCCTGCACCAAGTCCTCAGCTCTAGGGGGTTAGCTCTTCAAGGAGCTGCCCAGACGAGGACCCCTGAATCGCTGCTGTGGGCCTCCACGTCAGCAGCACTAAGTCCGGCATGACCTATGTAGCTGCCTGTGTGTCCTTGTTCTCTGACCGATGTCGCTGCGTATAACCTCTTAAGGACAAGGCTTTACAGAGGGGCTCAGACACCCTCCAATCCCCCATCTCCAACCCCTCTAGAACCTGTGCCCTCTCTAGCCGAGCTCTTACAGTCCCTGGTCCTCTCCCACCCTCCCTCATCCCACAGCTCACAGCTCAGAGCAAGGAGGTACCCCTAAGCCTGGGTTTCTTTCTACTCCCATTGCAGGCTCTGCCTACCATGTGCCGGCCCAGCCCATCATCCCCGTGGACGGAGGAGGAAGCTTCCCCATTCAGCTTCAGAAAGGAAGTGAGTGCCACACCCTGCCCCAAGGATTTCCCTCTTGAGAGGCAGGGGAAGAGAGGGGAAATGGAAGCAAAATTTACTCCCCTCATTTAGACCCAGCACAGGTATGGAGACCCTGAAATGCCTTCCCAGGCACCTTTAATCTCTCCCTCCCTCCCCCCAACTCCCCTGCCTTCACTGGTCACTACAGTCCCCAAGCATCATCACTGTCTCCCACAAAATCAGCCCCACTCTGGTCATGTGCTAGGCTGTGGAAGGAAGGCCATGAGGTCCTTGCAATCGAGGCTGGATTCTAGCAGAGGAAACCGTTTCAGAACCAATTACGCGGAGCCCAGCATTGTGCTGGGGACGCAGAGGTAAATATCTGGGTCCCTTTTCCTCTGGAAACTGCAGGTCATTCTCTTAAGGACCTACTGCCACGGGAGGATTCCACCCAGCCTTCCCACAAACGACTGCACAAAGCAGGGCACTCAGCAGCGACTGCAGGCTTCCTGGGGGCACCTCACCCCACCTCTCCGCAGCCACACCCTGTGAAAGGCGCGAGCACACACTAGCGCACGATTCTCCGTGGCCACATTGCGCAGAGGCGCCAAAGCCATCTCCCACCTGGTGCTCCGACCGGCTAAGGCTGTGAGATGCCCCATCTGCCCACTCCGCTCCCCTCCCACGCAAGGGGCACAGCCAGCCCTGCTCAGACCCCACATGTCTCTCGTGGCCGGCACCGCCAAGAGGCTGCGCGCCCACATCCCGGGCTCTGGCATTGCAGGGGGCGCCCAGCCCAGCCAGGGGCGGGCCAGGCGCTCACACACTGCACACCCTCTCCCTGCATGGGAAAGCCTTACATAACACAGTTCTCCGAACACACCCTAAGCACACTGCCTTTCCAACTCCTCTGCAGGACCTCGCCCCCCGGCCCTCTCTCCTGGAGCGCACAGCTTGAGTGGAGGGCTCCAAAGAGGGCAGCTAAGCCCTCCTCCTACGCCGAGCCCGGCTCCTGCCCCCACCTCCCACACACAGCCCCTTCCCCCACCTCCCCTTTGCCCCTCACCACTCCTCCCCGAGTTCTGGTTTGAATTAGTCACCGGCTCCAACCACCACATTCCTCAGGCTGCTGGCGCCAAGCCAGGCGCTGGGGCGGGGGCCATCCCGCCCGGACGGGTTTGGGAGTGGGGTAGGGGAGAGAGCGCCGCCTCTAGAGGGGAAGGGGCGGTCCCGAGGGCTGGGCCACTGCAGAGCCCCCTCCCCGCCCACCCCACTGCAGGAATCTCCCTAATTATGTCCCCCCACCCCCACTCCCACCCGCCCCGCAGGGAGGCGCGCTGCAAACTTCCAGGCTCTGCAGACCCAGAGGAAGAAGGGAGTTTTCTGGAGCAGGGAAAACGGAGGGGCAAGACTAGGGCGGGGCAGCTGGAGGGGGGCCGAGGGGAGCCGCCAGGAGCCAGAAAGGGAGAGGCTGGTGGTACAGAACTGGGTGGGGCCGGGAGGACTCTGGACGCGAAGTTCAGGGCGGAGGTGTGGGGAACCGGGAGGGACAGAGGAGGGGGCGCGTGGCGCGGGGACGCAGGGGCGCCGGGAGGGGCAGAGGGGCCGCGGCCACGATCTCAGAAACTTCTCCAGTAAACATGAAATAGGAACGGAGCACTGCGCTGAGCCACCGCCCCATGGAGAAAGAGGGAGTGGGACAGGGGCCACCAGGAGACACCAGGCCAGGAATGGGACGCCCTGCCGTGCAGTAGGGCCAACAGTCAGCCCGAGAGAAATATGGACTGGGGCTAAGCACACTTCGGAGCGATTTTCCAACTTTGCCCAACTTGCGCCCCAACTCCGGAGGCAGAGCTTGGCTCCGAGGGCGCGACGCGTCGCCTCCCCGCGCGGCCCTGGGCTGCCCAGCTTGCTCCAAACTGTTCGAATCCTCACAGTGACACCCACCCAAAGCGCCTCGCCCAACCCTTGCAACCCACCTCCCCTCTCCCGTGCTCGGCGTCCTGTTCCCCGATCGCGCCAAGGTGCGCCCGGCGCCCCTACCTGCGCGCTCAGCCCCAGGGCACAGCCATATCCCGCACGGGGCCCGAGGTCGCGGTGCTGCGGCTGTTGCAGGCGGCGAGCCCCGCTCGGGGCGGGTCCGGCAGGGCGGGCGGTGCAGTCCCCGCGGCAGAGCTGCTCCGAGTGGCCGGGCCCCCGCGCGCGGAGGCGGCTCTTGTAACTCCGGCTCGGGCGGGCGGGTCTGCCCCGAGCTGTGGGGAGAGGGCGGGGCCGGGCGGGGCCGGAGTAGGGCTGGGACGAGCTAGCAAGGCCGACCCTGGAGGGCCCGGGGAGCGGGTTGCTGGTGGGGAGGGCCCTGTGGGACGTGGGGACCAGGAGGGCGCCGCGCTGCCAAAGTGCTTCTTTCCCCCTCCCCCTATCCACTGCCCCCTACTCTGGCCGGTGCCCGGATCTACCCCCTACGTATGCAGTGTGTTTCGTCGGCAAGAAACTCCTCGAAGCTCCCTGAGGCTTATCCTCACAGCTGAAACCAAGAATCCGCCCATTTTGCAGGAAGGACCAACGGGTTCAGAGAGCGGTTGGGGGGCTTGGGTAGTTCAGCCGCGACCTCCAGCCTAACGCAGACCTTTTTGAGTTTTTCCCTCAACACTAGAACTTCAAATCCTACCAGGCAACTACACGTCAAATCCCAGGCCGTCTCCTCACTTGGTTTCCAAGCTCCATGCAACCGCGCGCGTTTCTGGCTTTCTCTCTTTCTTGGGGCCCCGCGCTCCACAGAACCAGCCTGGAGACGCTGGCCCCACCTCCCGGAGTCAGGGCCACCAGTGTCCCATGCACCACCGTGCTGCTCCGCCCGGCCGGGGCAGCAGCGCAGCAGTCAGGCCTGCAGCCCTTGGAGGAGCAGACCGGGGTGCTCACCTCCCTCTCCAGACTCCCTGAGGGAAGCCGGGGCTCCCGCTTTTCCTCTGCCTACCCATTTCTTCTCATATGCCCTGTCTGAACCCCTCCACCACCTCCCCACTTGCAGGACGCTGAGTTTCCAAATTTACAGCCATTTCCCACAGCCAGTTCTGACTACATGGAGATTTTATTAAACGCTTAATAATGGGGTTCAGGGGCCTTCTGGCTGCCCATCCCCATTCTCTTCTGTCCTGTGAATCGTCTTAGCCTGCCTCCTCGGTGGCCACCCACTGCCCACATCAAGCCAGTTCTCCTTCTCTCCCAAATGCTGGGGAAGGGAGACCCCAGGGCAGGGAACTGAGAAGACCTGGCCCCAGACAGGAGCACCCTCCTGGCTGCAAGATCGTGAGTGGGCTGGGGCTGAGACCAGCAGTCCTGTCCTCTGAAATGGCAAACATGTTTACAGGCTAAAAATACCCAGCAGCCAACTCTGCTGCCAGCCCTGGGGGCTGTGTCCCAGGTCCAGTTACCCGCACAGGGTACAGGCTGTGGGGGAGGGAAGAGACAGCAAAAAGAGCCACGGACGTGCAGACACTCATACAATGGACACAGAAAGGTGGAGACACATGTGTAGACATTCAGACAGGCACAGACATGCAAAGACACATAGACAAAGCAGAGACTTGGGCACGAGCATTCTCCCCCTCTCTCTCTCTCTCTCTCTCTCTCTCTCTCTCACACACACACACACACACACACACACAAGTACCCAGATAGACACTCAAACCCACAGCAGAAGCAGTGCCACCACACGTATCACAAGCAGACAGTCGCAGACCCAGGCTTTCTGAAGAATCTCCCCTCCTCCATTTTGTTCTGCATCTCTTGCCCAGCACCTACCTTATCTAAAGAAAAAAAAAATCTCAACTTTTCAACTTTGGGATGCATTTAAAAGAAGAACCAAGAGCGAATTATTTCCTTTACCAACAGCTTTTTAAATTTTATTTCCTTTTAAGTCACATTTATTCAGCTTTTGAAACATGAACCCAGAATACAGATCAACAGAATGGCCTGTGATCCTACAAGTCAGATACTCCTCAGTTGACATTCTGTAAGTAAAATCAATACCTCCAAATGGTGAAGAATGTAAACAAGACAGAAAGGCAGAAAAATAAACAGTAAACACCTCCTCCTCTGCCTCGTCCCTCTCCCCAAAGATACCTCCAACAGTTTACCAAAGGATTTTCAACTGTATAAAATGAATCATTTGGTTCCTTGAAAGTGCAGGTTTCCCCAGTGCATATTAAAATGGGAGTTGATTTACATCTAGGTTCTCAGAAAAAGCTATGATGTGACACAAGCCGCAAGACATAAGGTTTCTGCAAACCGAGCTATGGGAGTTTGGAGGGAGGAGCTGGGGCAGGAAAAAAGAGCATGGAGGGTGTGGATGTTGTGTCCTCACCTCAGCGTGGGCTCCGTCAGCCCCCCAGAAAGAGCAGAGGCTAGTGGCCTGGGCTCAGAGCCAACTTATCTGCTGCTTTTGTTTGTTCTGGCCAACCTCTTGGTCAACAGGGAAGAAGGCGGGAGAGGCTGGGTTTGGGAGCAGCCAAAGAGCAGGGATTACTGCCAGGTCCTTCATTCAGGGGTAGGAGAGTCAAGATACCTGGTAGGGGCCATCCTGGGGACCGGCTTCTGCCCCATTCCAGGCTAGGAGGGTAGAGAAGGGGTAAGCTGACACTGCCTCCTAAAAAACCATGATTGTACCTGCTGGAACCAAAGCCTAGGTCAGCCTCCTCAGCCCAGGGGAAGGGAATGTTTTCAGGGTGTCATTGGAGACACACACTTTTAGAAATTTCCGTCAACCTTTCTCCTTCTGTCTGCTGCCATGGGCCCCCCACCCCTCACCCGCCAAAGCTCCCTTAATGGTGATGGTGTCTGACACCGCAGCAGGCTCTTTCATGGGTTAGCTCCTTTAATCTTCACGTGCTCTGGGAGGAAATGGTCTCAGAGAGGGTTCGTGATTTACCTAAAGTCACACAACCCTCGGAAGCAGAAGTCAAAGCTCCCACTAGCATCGAAGCTCCATGAGAGCAGGGATTTTTTGTTCTCTGCTCAATGCCTAGTGCCTAGAGAAGGGGCTGGCACATAGCATCACTCAAGAACATTTTGTGGAATGAATGAATGAATGAACTACAGGTATAACTGGCCCCAACGCCCTTGTTCTTTTCACAACAGCATCCTGTACCCTACTCTTCCCATGGGGGGATGTCAGAGCTTCCCCTGGCTCTCAGCCCCCAGGGAGCAATGCCCCCATTGGAGGTCTCTCATGCAGCTGCACCAGCATTCAGTGTGTGTCTGACACTAGGCTGGGGGCTTATGGTGGTGGTGGTGGTGCAGGTAATAGAGAACTCGACAAGATGGAGTCCCCGCCCTCAAGGAGCTCAGTCCAGAAGGAAATGTACTTTGATCTCCCCTTACCTTGTACTCTGAGTTCCTTGCATGTCCTATGCTTTGGGAAAATTGGACATTATCTTTTCTACCAGGTGTTGCACACAGCTCCTTCACCCCCCCCACCCCCGACACACACGGACACACACTATTTTGGGGTTATAAAGAGTCCCCTCCATGCCAATGTTGCTAAGAAAACCTCTGTCTTCTTCAAGATTTCAGAGTCCTCTGTCAAAACATGAGGGCTACCAGGGATCAGGGAGGACTTCAGCTCTCCCGCTGGCACTGCACACCCTTCGGAGGCATCCCACACCACAGTGCTCCAGGCTCACTGGCAGAGGGAGGTGAGCTCTAGGACTCGTCATCACTGGGATACCCCAGCTTCCCCAGAAGTGACGCTCCCTCCCTGGGGGTTCCCTGATCTGTACCCTGTTGTAATGTGTGTTTGATGAACCTTGGGCTCTTCTGTTGCCAAGCAACATGCCTCTGTTTTGTTTCTATTATGCCTGTTTCCATAGTAACCACAAAGGGGAGCTCTGTGGGCAGGCCCCTTGCCAGGGGATTCCCCTTCCCCTCCCTTCTCTGAAATCAGTGTATTACAGGGAAGAAAAGACGCACGGACTGCTCAAAGAATAATCATGACTTTTAAACCCCCATCCCAGAAGGGAAGTGAAGTGTGCAGTGAAGTGTTGGCAGTCTCTTCGAAAGCAGATTTTTCCCCCATCGAGGGCCTGTTGGCACATCGGCCTTAGAAGCAGAAAAACGACTGCTATCCCTTCTTTGGGCCATCTGGGACCTCCCAGACCCCACCTCCAGCCCATACACACATCAGCCCAGGCATTAGCATCCCTGCCAAACAGCAGGCCCTTCTCCATTCACTTTCATTGCTTCCTAATCTGTCCTCTTCCCCAGGGGAAGAGCAAACCTAAAGGGTGATTCCGGGATCCAAACATTATTTCCTCAGCAATTCTCAAACCTCAAAGTCCTAACCCAAACTTAAAATATGAAGCTGAGTAAAATCATCCACTTCCAGCTCAATTCAAATCCCAGCCTGTATTTAAACCTCACGCTTCGCATGAGTTCCTGAATTACTCAGATCAGACGGCCGTGGTACCGGAAACCCTCCCATTACACTCAGTCCTAATTGAAATCTTCAGGCCCAAGCAGAACCCAAGGTAAAGCTGATTAGAGAACAAGAGACGAGACGCAGGGCTCTGAGTACAGACCCTGGGAGGAAAGAAGGCAAAAAAGGACTGGCCAGGCAAGAGGAAGGGAACGGAGGTGGGCAGGCAGAGGGGGGCAAGTGGACATACTGGGCACGGGTGGATCCCGAGAGCCGTGGTGAGAGATGGCTTAGAGGCCAGTGAGTTGGGGGCTTGGGGATGCTGCGGGAGCAGGAGGATAATAGGAAATGTGGTCTCGAGACTAAGGAAAAGAAGTGGCAAAACACAACTGAATGAGGCTGTGAAGGAAGGAGGGAGGGAGGAAGAGAGAAAAGAAGAGCTCAGAACTGAGCTGTGGACTGGGCGGGCTGAGTTGTAAACAGGAGCCGAGGGAGGGAGCTGGAATGAACGGAGCAGCCAACGCCCCAGCCAGCTCCCCTCCCCAGCAGGGAGTGGGGAGCAGGGAGGGAGGGGCCGGGGAGAGGGGAGCAACAGCCTCCTCTCCCCTTGTTTGGAATCTGCCTTTCTCCCATCCTTTCCAACTTCCTCCGCCTTTACCTCAGCTCTCAGGGAAAAGGGAACTGAGCCCGGGTTTCCCTCCCTCCTCAGCTTACATTTCCCAAGTCCAGTTTAAGGAGATCAGGCTGAGCTGGGAAGGAAGGGCCTATGCTGCCCAGAGCCTGAGTCACCACATAGT